TAGTCTTATTTAAGGGACAATGATTCATAAATGGCCCCTAAATTAATCTTATTTAAGGGACAATGATTCATGAAAATCGTGACATATATAATAGGTAAAATACTGAGTAAAACACACTGATACAGTAAGCTAATTTTTATAGCTTTCACGAGAATATAGGTGTATGTCATAATACAAGGGTAAAAGTGTTTTAATTACAAAATATAATTCATTTCTCATATGTCATAATACAAGGGTAAAAGTGTTTTAATTACAAAATATAATTCATTTCTCCCAGTCTTTGTCACGTATTTTATATTATAAAGATGATCCATTATGTGTGTCACTGTATGTGTTAGCATCCTTCAACAAGATTGGCTTGATCACAGTAATTTTTTGTAAGGTAACTGGAACTTGTCCGTCGGCGTATAGGCTGTTTTGTTTTAAGATTTTCGTCCTAGAAGGGGAATAAAGAAGCCCCTAAAATAGGACACATTTCCACTTTTGTCTAGACTTTTGGCAACCACCACCCACATTTGGCTGCCTCGACTGCCATATTTTTTGTTTGGTAACTGGAAATTGTCCGACGATGTACATGGCCTACTTTGTTTTAGGAGAAGGGGGAAAAACATCATGAAATAGGTCAAATTTCCACATTTTAAATAGATTTTTAGCTTTGAATTTAAATACATTAGTTAAATGAGCCAATTATTATTTTCCACAAAGCAGGGTACGCAATTAGCATCTGACGACATAATTATGGATTTAATTAAAAAAAGAAAAAAGGGGGACATTACCTAACATTGTTCTTTATACAATTTTTGCTTCTTTACCGGGTACCTTCAGATAGATTTTATTAACTTGAACTATTAGTAAGCCTACACCTGGACCTCAATAGCCCACCCTGTATATCGCTAACTCGCCATTTCATATTTAGAGAGAGAATAAAAGAAGTTTGTGTGGAAAGTTTGTTGCATTTCGCGCAAAGCTACTTGGGTAGTCGTCCCTAAGTTAGGAAAGGCAGCTAATAAACACCACCCGCCGCCAACTATTGAGCTATTCTTTACTAACAAAAGGTGTGACTGACCATTACATTATAACGCCCCCACGGCTGGAAGGGGAGCATGTTTGGTGGGACGGGAATTCGAACCCGCAGATTGCGCGTGGAGCGCCCTAACCACCTGGCCGTGCCAGGCCCTCAAGGCTGGAAGGGCGAGCATGTTCGGTAATGGTACATGAACCCGCGATCCGCAGATTAGAAGTCGATTGTCACAACTACCGGTCCATGCCAGGCTATGTAGAAAATGATAACACATATGTAGTTAGAACACTTTCTATAACGACCTTACTGAAGCTGAACTTGGGAATATTCTGCTGTAACATTGTTTTCGCAACTAGCAACAAATTACCGACGAGCTCTAACCCTCAAATTACTAACGTGTGCTTGTATCGCGTGCTATCGATGGCGTCTACGTATTATGTAATTTTGTTTTTGCCCATTTTAACACTTAATTATACGTGAATGACTAAAACAGGCTGGGTGAAATGGCTCATTTTTAATGTAAAATACATAGGAGACCTAAGGAACAGTTAACAGAATTACTGTAATATTGTTGTGTAATTCAATTATTAGGAACTCTGTAGCCAACAAAGTCGTGAATCTACTAACGATTTGTTGTACAAATAGTATAGAAAAGTGTGTTTATCCATTGGTAACTTTAGGGTTAAGCAGCTTTCCGATTAACTTGCACGTCCATCTAGTAAAGCATGCCCAAAAAGGTAAATATCTTGACCCTTATTATATTACACTGTTATTAAGTAGAAAGTCTGTAACTTGCCGATTCTATTTGGTGACGTCATAACACCACAATCTTTCCGCTTAACACCAGATATTGGTTTACTCTGATGACGTCATGCTGACGTCAGTTCAAATTACAGCAGATGTTGTATTTAACATAGAAAAAAGATTCGTATCCAACTAGGCTAGATGGGAGCAGACTTGTTGACAAAAATGGTAACAGCTGATAGTTTTTTGTTCTACCAAAACAGAAGTATGATCAAAACTGTTTTCAGAGTCCGAGTAATTAATTTTCAACAAGGCATTTAAGTCGCCACAAATAATACCACATAACTGACTGCCAGTTGTGTTGCTTCATCGTGTTTTTTAGGATTTCATTTTTGTCGCCTAAATGTATACAAGTTTCAGTTATAAATAAAGAAAAACTTTACTTGATATTTCGATGAATTCTTGATGTTTTGAAAAAAACTTTGAATGTAAATAATTGGAAGAATTACATCAAATGAAAAAAAAACACTAATGACTTTCTTGCCACTGAATACACAATCATATTACAGGCAGAGCTGGCTATGGCCACTGCGAGGTCTTAGGCAAGGTACAAAGTGTAGGGGGAAATCATGGTATAAGGAAATAAGAATATAAAAAAAATCTGACGAAAATTGTACAACGGAACGATGTGGTACTCATTAGGTCAACCGTATGTTTTTTGCAGCTTCATCTTTAAGAATCACTTATTAAAAAAATATATTCGCCCCCCTCCCCTCCACCCTCATCCACATAGCGAGGGGTCCTTCTCAGCTGCTGCCTAGTCTTAAGGCCTACTGTAAGTGCATGGACTCGGAAGATGGACAAACGCACTGTTGCTGTCACAAGTAATCTGTAGAGAAATTATTACAGTTGTAAGAGCATTAGATCAGCAATATAACATCACATCAAAGCCAATTTAAAAACGAGTTGAATAGCTTCTGAAGGTTACAACATATTTTTTTAAAATCTCAACTACATATTCTTGCTGTGAAATTAGCTGTTGGAACATTAATTTCGTTGAATACACACTATCATACCTACTATACCCCATCCCGGTGGCTCAGCAATAGGCTTGATGGCTTATAACACTAAAATTCGGGACTCGATCCTTGCGGTGAGCACAGTTGTACAACTTTGCGCTTAACAACAAACAAGCTACTAACCTGTACAAAACAAACCTAATACCGTTGGAATGATTTGTGACGTCGAAATACAACAGCGCAACCCAGTGGTGTTAAAAGACAACAGTGAAATCGGCTGAGCGTTGCTCCAATTTATTATTGAAATAAAAAAGTATTATTATGTGAATCTGACGCGCCTCACTGCGTTGCTTTAAGATACTATTACGAAATATATCACTGACCAAGGTAAAAGCCCGTCAGAAATGACGGGAAACCAAAACTATTCCGTATAAAACTGGCAATACACAAAATAAATATAAAATTTCATTTCTCAGGAACATGTTACATATTGGTGCCTTTGGATAAAAGATTAAACATACGATGACCATATGATTGCATACATACATGTTCTTCTTCTGAGGAAAAGTCGTCCTCTTCCCTACAGATAATTCGTATCTTCGGTCTCTTTTAGCAAAGGCTTTTTTCGCAATAATTCCCAAGCATAGATTTGCGCTAATTTTTTACTTATTTTTCACAGGCGTTGATAGGGTGCAAATGCACTTCCGCACGGGATCACGGGAGTCCTCCCATTTTCCTATTCTAATTCTACCAGCTAGACGTCATAATGATGTGGATGATGTAGTGTCACACACATAACGCCATGCCTGATCTGGTCCTGGAAACTCCCTCAATGACAGGCTTATAGCAGAAAAAGTCCGAAATGTAGGAGCTAGTAACGCCTAGTTTAGCGATTAAATTCAACTAAAATGGGAACGGATAATCAAAAGAGGAAGTATTGTAGAGAAAAAAATGGAAGTGAACTCGTGTAATTCACGAAACTCGGAGAAATCGAGCGTGACTGACCGACCTACCGACACTTGGCTTCTATATATATTAATATTCCTTATGGCATAGTGTTAAAGATTCTTTAGAAACTATGGAAGAAATTAATAAAGATTTGAATTTTGTTAAGTTGAAAGATTATAAAACACTTTTTTAATTGAAAGACAGGTGAAAAACAAAGAAATTAATTCTTAGAGAAAGGGGTCCTGTTATATTTGGAGCGAAAACACAAAAATTTATATTTCTTAAAAATATAAAAATGTATTAAACTAATGCATAGATGATAGATCTATCATCTATCAAATTTTATAAATTATTGGGGGAAAATATTTTCTAATGCAATTTCGTGCTTGCCAATTATTAGCATAACATTTCAATTTTCATAGCTGTATAAGGTATATTAATTATATAGATCTAGGGGCCTAGAGGTATGTATATAGATGATCTAACCTTAGGTATAATAATAATAATAGATTAACGTAATTATTTAGATAAGAATCTGTAGAAAAAACGTTCACCCGCTGGCTAATAATTCAACACAGATTTGCACTCACACGTAGGCCTAGGACGTTTGGCCTATAGTAGATGATATAACTAAGTTAGATCTCAACTTTACTAGCAGGCTAGGCGGACTAGGTCTACTAGATCTCTGATGAATCATTTGCCAGCAGGTAAGTGTTTTTTTATACAGATTCTTATGATCTTATCTAAATTATTATTATGCGTTGTAAACACGCGTACTTGTAAGTTGTAACGTTGTCATTAGGCCTATACATACGATTGTTAACAACCGGTTCGTGGAGGTCATTAAATTCTAAGAGCAGAATCCGGCTGAATCCCACCACTGCCGTATATACAGTTTCATATAAATTTTGTCTTTCACTGTTTGGTTTCGGACAAGGTTTGGTAGTCAATCAAAAAAACATCCTTGGCAGTGACTTCCGAGAGACAAAAGATAGATCTAAGATTGTTTTTCTTTTTTATTATTTTTACATACTTCTGATTTGATATTCGTAATGGGCAATTTAAGACAAATGTGAAAAAAAAGCAGTCAAGCATAATGTTTGTCGCAAAATTTATGCCTATTAGTTTTAATGCTTCGCCAGTTTTCGCTATTCAAACTGTGATATTATACATTTTATTTTCTGGTGTATTTATTTCTGACATTGTATACTGCTAGTAAATTTGTCATATAAGTCTAGAAAAAAGTAATATATATTTGTATTAAATATATATGACTATGCAAAAAGCAGAGAGCGCCACATGACACCCTAATATGGCGCTGTCGTTCAAAGAGAGAAAAGAGCGGCGCTTAAACGGACCTGACCTCAGTCGCAAAAAGTCAATCGATTTGCACATTCAAGAATTAGTAGAATTAATCAACGAGGAAGAAGTTTATTGTACCGCAAGCTCGTGTTCCGGGCGTATTGTTTTGATATCTCGAACTGATACAGAGGTATGTTCCTGCTCATATTTTTAATATTAATATTACTACAACAACTTGAGCAGGTTGAACAAGTGTGCTTGCTAATAGTAGTAATAGTAATATAAATACTAATAGTCTTCTATTAATATAATAACAGTTGCGAGTTGGATGTAATTACTATTATTATGGTAATTTATATTAGTTTTATCTTCTGATAAAAACAAGCATCCTACATACTAGATCTGAATGTTAAAAAAGGAGTCAACCTAGGCTTGTAAAAAATTATCTGTGTAATATAGGTTTTGGGAATAAGTTAGCTAATTGGATAGAATTAGAAGACTAGTTGGATGAAAGAAAGCAGAGGATTCAAATTCGATGACGAGGAACCCACTTTGAGACTAATAATGGCTGGATGATGACAAAATCTTGTCGAAACGTTGTACATTTGCTGTTATGTTAAACTTGTATTAAAGTTTTCTTCATTACCCATTCAAGCCATCTCCAGCCATTATAAAGCAGAGGATTAATTAAGCTGTTATTAATACAGCTTTCTAATTAACGGCTTCCCATTATTGTTCAACACTTGCTATTAAACCCGTATACCATAGATACAACCTAAAATCCCATTTGTCCTACCACTAGCAACAGCACACTGCTTGGATGGCTTAAGAGACTGATCAACTATTATACCAAGATCTCTCTCTTTCATGACACTGTTATGGTTATTCCCATCTAAATTATATCCATAATTCAAATTGTGATATTTCACGTGCATTATCTTGCATTTATCATAATTAAAACACATCTGCCATTTATTTGCCCAACTCACTAAATGATCTAAAATCCTTTTGTAAAGCAGCAACATCCTCCTCACAGCTAGCAACAACCAAGACCTTAATATCATCAGCAAATTTAAGTAATTTATTGACCATTACTTCATCTATGTCATTGATGTAAATCAACAAGAGCAAAGCCAAAGGTCCTAAGACTGAGCCCTGAGGTGCCCCACTCGTGATAATAATCCAGTTTGACTAAACTATATTTATAACTTTAACTTAGTTGGTTTACATGGTTTCAATTATTGGCTTAATACTGTTTTCCAAAATACTTTTTTTGACTTTCTTACTTATGTCTTTATTACCTAGATTCATTGTCCATAATCAAAGTTTTAATGATGATGTGATTTTTTTTTATCAAAACGAATTAGAAATGGTTTCAAGTTGTGTATTGGCATGGTGTACTGACTGGTGAGGTTGTTGGGCTCCAGATTGAAGGGTTTGCCATGTGATTCTGCTGCTGAATACACTCCAAAGTTTCAGCTGTGGGTTCACTATAAAAGTGATAGTCAGTACCATTATTTATTTCGAAGACGCAGACAAAGCCCTTGTGGTGGCTTTCTGCCTTTATTTTTCTGTAATTTAAAATTAGGGATAATTATACCTCTGATTAGGGGGGTCTCTGACATGTCATTTAGCCCAAGAGTTGCATAAAATGCCAGTCGTGTTAAAATATCAAATTTTCTTGTATATTGGGGAATGTCTTAAGAGTAAAAAACTAAATTTATATTAACAATAAATCTGTAAAAAGCAAATTGCTGAGATGGAAAGATTTTTTTGGATGTGAGACTTGAAGTTTTCATAAGTGGGTTTACCGAGTGGGATAAAATAGTTGCTGATACAAAGTTTTTTTTTATATATTAATTCTTCGTGTGCTTGTGATACCACTGAAGTGGTTTATATTTATCTTGTTTTGTTTGTACAAAATGAAATGAATATTCATTTGCACCTTGATGTACATAAACTTCCATTTCAGAAATAATTATTTACATTTTTAGATTGTATAAACACTTGTTTTATTGGTAATTCTGTTTAAATTTTGTATACCTTCAAATTATTCATTGACTACATGAACTGAAAGTCTTTTTCTTAACTAGGATGGCCAGGTTCAGAAGAAAGGGTGCACTTGGCTCTTAGTGTCGCATGATATAATTGATTGGAATGACGTTGTAAGTAACCCTTGATTTCTGAATGTTATATTAACATTTTGATTTTTTTAAGTAAACAGTTGAAGCAATTAAGTGATATTAAACCAATAAAAATGTTTTCATCTGATGTTTACTAAGTATTATTGTTTGTGTTTATAAAAAAAGTAGAGAAAGTTGTTTAACCTAACCAGTTTAAGCTGCTGTTTCTTCCAGATGTTGTTGTTGCTTTAATTTTGAATGTTCTGATTTAGTTGTTATTTTAAGTTTATGATAATATTTGTTTAACAAGACAAAGCTGTTATTTCTAATGCCATGTTAATACATTGACTGGTGTGGGAGGTTCAAACAGACCCTATTTAGACCTCAAGAAACATTAATTCCACAAACCAATATATTTACTTTCAGGTTAAACAGCTCAATCATAATCTATTCAAATATACAGAATGACCAATGGCCCCATTTCTCAGTATAGTTTTACGCTACTGACCAGGCAAATGCCATATTGTAAAATCATGTTCTGGGCAGGAGAAATCTTTCATATTTTCATTTACACTGAGGAAATTAGACTTCTGAAGTGTATTTACTGTATTGAACTGACAGTATGTAGGTGTAAACAAACAGCCACAGACTTCTGAAGTGTATTTGTGGCTGTTTGTTTACACCTACATACTGTCAGTTCAATACAGTAAATACACTTCAGAAGTCTGTGGCTGTTTGTTTACACCTACATACTGTCAGTTCAATACAGAAGACTTCTGAAGTGTATTTACTGTATTGAACTGACAGTATGTAGGTGTAAACAAACAGCCACAGACTTCTGAAGTGTATTTGTTTGTTCACATCTACATACCATCAGTTCAACACAGTATGATATGTTGCTGAAACTGGAAGATTCAAATGACGTCTAGTTTATATAATAAACGTAATAAAATAGTTAATAAACAAGAGACTCGCAAGCCTATAATTGTAACATGATTATAAAATAGATAATGAGTAGCTAATATCCATTTTATTTTTAAAATTTGTATAGGTATTTATTTAAAGATAACCTGCTTGTCATCCAGCTCTCATCATAATACTTGCAGTTTTACAAGTACAAGTACAATGTGTACAAATATTTATACTTGTACACATATCTGAGACAAATGTAGCATGAACAGAACCTCCCCCCCCTCCATCCCCTAAAACCTGGCAAGATACCCATGTTGGCTCATACCTG